CAACTTTTCAGCGTTAGAAGTGTTACGGTATTTGCTAATTGATTTGCGATAGCAGCTTTTTTGCCGAAGCACGACAGTCGCTTACAGACAGATTATTACGTTTGATTGGAATATCAGTGAGAAGATTTTCCTCGGGTTTCTTCTGTTGGTTCGTATCTCGGTGGTTCTTGTTATTCTTTTTCGTGGATAGGCCGTTCGGGGTACCTTTTTCTCTGAGAATGTTTTTGACTGCTACGGTCGGCTCCGGTCATATTTTCTGTGCCTGTGAGATGAGACAATGTTCTGGATTCCGCTTTTGTTTGAAGGACACAAGTCCACCTCTTTTTACTGAGTCTATCTGCGCATGTTCAACAGAAATCTGTCGTTGACGTAGTGCTTACAAAAGTGTCTTCGAAAGTTTCCACTTCGTACATGTCTGTCTGTCTTTTTGACTTCTTATTTATTGAACATATTGAGATGTACTGTCAACTTTCGAGACGGGGGCCGCGACCGTACAATTGTTGCCTGGGAAAATACAGAAGTGGTGAAGATAGGCAGTGGCAGAGCGGTTAGAACTCGGATGCCCAGCTCACTATGATATAATTTTGTCGACACGACCGCACTTGTGATTGACTTAACTACTCCATTTCTCAAACACGCAGAATGATGCGCTTGGAGCCTGGTCGACATACTTTATTCCACAGGAGCAAGTGAAAGAGTAAATACAGAAAGAGGCAGCAGAATCGGGCACTATTTTTCAACCGTAGATACACCAACGGACTAGATGTGAATCGAGTTTGGAGCTTAGTTGTGTCGAACGTTTTGTTGACGGCATCGGATAGCCTTCTATACACAATCTCTGCCAAGGTGTCGCTTTTAAATGGTAAAGAAATGTACACAGATTTCTTCTCAGAAATTACCTTTTTCGAAAACGCCTCCTGTCGCTGTAGCACAGATTTCACCAGGCGTTAGGGGTATCCATTCTGGATGAAGATATTCCGCACATTTTGGAGTTCTCTAAGCAGCCTGTCCTTCGTGCATATTCTTCTTCCTCCATTGGCCAAACAAAGTATGTGATTCTTCTTCATACTCAGTGATATAAAGCTACGGGAATGAATGTACTGCCCATTCCACGTCGCCTACCTGTGTGCTGACCGCCCGATGGACTTATCAGCATAACGAGTTAGACAAACACCGAAATATGCTAGTTGATAGTTTGCTTCACTATCCATCGTCAATTTCAAATTTCGATGCGCAGCACTGAAATGATGTAGTTTATGTGGGCAGTCCTTTGTAGAATCGACCACGCAAAAAATATCGTTTAAGTAACGTTTGTACCGTACGCATTGTTCGCCGTGTTTTAAGCGAATCGTTTAGACATGATATGATTTTGTCTTTAAAATATCTGTCACGAATGGATTTCATAGGCTCCATGCTTTTACCGACAATAACTGGGCATCAAATATGCATCTGAGTAGCAGCTTCAGTCTAGTACTTGGATTCTGCTTAGTGTAGTTAAAGTTAAAATCCATTTTTTCCGGTTACCGATCCCCCATCATGTTTCCTTATTGTAATGGCATCCGTTTTCCTCAAAAACCTATATCCTAACAAATTTTCAAAGCGAAATCACCCTAACATTCTGCTTTTTCACAGTATTCCTTCTCTTGGGTTTGTCTCTTTAATGCACTGTTCTTCTTTAATGAGAATGAGCACCAGCTAAAATCTCCAAAGAGCCCGCCCAGTTAATTCCTATGCACAGTGGAGTTTGTAAAATAATAATCTTTGCGGCAGGATGTTATAAGTGAATATTTATATTATGAGATTAATCTAAACCAAAGGATTTCTCAAATACCTAAAATCTCATCTCCCGATTGTCAACTTGTTTCAAGGAACTTCTCCCATCAAATAACAAGTAAATCTTTGACAACCTGGGCAGTACAACCTTACATGAGAGTAGTGGAGGACTTGAATGGGTTATATGTTGCTCTCTACAATGTACAGAGCAAAAGAAGCAGAGACTGTAATGTATTGTGTAAAACTTTTGCAAGCACTGGAGCTCACATTTCAGTAAAAAAAT